ATAAACCAAGAAAGACGAAGACCGAGAAAGCTGGTTCGGATTCTCTCCCAATGCTAATAGCTGAGCCAACGGATGCTCGGTCTATGTCATTCGTGGGCACGCACGAGTATTTAGCTCCTGAGATCATAAGAGGAGATGGTCATGGAAGTTCTGTTGATTGGTGGACTTTTGGTATATTTCTATACGAGTTGTTGACCGGGAAAACGCCGTTTAAAGGAAACGGAAACCGCGAAACGCTATTCAACGTCGTTGGACAACCGCTAAAGTTTCCAGAAGGGTCTATAAGTTTTGCAGCTAAAGATTTGATTCGAGGTTTGCTCACTAAGGATCCTAAGAAGAGATTAGGTTTCAAGAAAGGTGCTACAGAGATTAAGCAACATCCTTTCTTTGATAATGTCAATTGGGCTCTAATCAGAAGCACAAATCCGCCAGAAATACCGAAACCGATCAATCTTTCGATACTTAACGAAACCCTCAAGTCATCAGTTCAACAACAACAGCAACAAGATAAGCATTCGAAACAATCAGATTCTTCATCAGGTCCTTACTTAGAGTTTGAGTTCTTCTAAATAAACTGTTTTGTTAATGTATTCTTCCAACAATTTATCCTCTTTTTTTCCGCTTGTAGCGTTGTTTTGGTTTTTAGCCTCTGTATTAAGCAACAATTTTGCATTTGCGGTTTAGGTTATGGTTTTTGATAAATTGAAATGGATTATATCCATTGATGTTCATAAATGTTGAAAGCTATGGATGTTGAAGCTAGATAATTCGTTCCTTTTCAATCCGAGCTAATTTGAAATAATCAAAATTCTAAAACAAAACCATATTAAATGGATTCATTTTTTTAATCCAAAAAACAGAATTTGAATCCGAAACGAACCGAACCCAAAAAAAAAAAAACCAATCTAAAACCGAGATTTCAATAAAAAGTAAAGAGATATCTGACTAAAATCGAATTCGATCCGAACCAAAACCATATAATATATATTCTTTTTTTGTGAAACTTAACCGAAACCATATTAAACCATCCATATTATACTACGATCATTTTAAACATATTATTCATATACCACAAATTCTTAACCTAGACCAAACTGATATCAGTATCGAATACTCCTATTTCAAGCATTGGAGAAAACACAAAGATGTGGGAAAAGCAATAACCTTTTCAGTCTTTTGTTGG